GCCATAGCCACCATAGCTGTAGAAGTGTGCGGGTGTGTGTGAGTGTACAGAGTGTGATGCGTGTGAGATATCCAGGGTGATCCTGTGTGCGAACAACAATGTTGAGCAAGTGACGAACAGCGAGTTGTACAGGCGATGTGCCGCCATAGCCATTTGAAGTGAATTTGTATCTGAGCTGCGTTCTTGGTTACTATATCGTTGAGTTCTGAGTGGGCGCTTGACGCCAGTTTGCTGCGGAACCTGTTTGCATGCATGTGAAGTGTGAATGAAAGCGAGTCTGATTGTATTAGTAACTACCCATGTTCAATTAAATAGGCTAGCGTTTAGTCTCAGCCTTAAATAGGCTAGCGTTTAGTCTCAGCCTTGACCGGAGCCGTTGACCACGATTTTGACCAAGCTGGAGTTGGTATAATCTCGCCAAGCCCTAAGCCTATCCATTCGCCCTATGGGTGTGCACTCACCCTATGGTACTTGCTGAGTCTGTCTGTCTCTTCTTTTTGCATTGAGTGTCTTCTGTCCATGTGATAGGACTCCGTGTATGAAGGATAGGGCCTCGTTGACCAAACCCACACGGGCTGAGTAGGGCTAAAGACTGTGTCTGACAACTTGACTGCCCCGGAGGACACGAACCCTCCCAAGGACCGGTACTGACCGGCGGGCTGCTCGGTGTGGCACGGTAGGCCCAAAATCCGAGCTATGGGCTGCACAACGGGCCGTCTAAGTCTTGAGAGGATCTGCTGACCGTGTCGTCCTGTTTGCGACGTTAAAGAATTCCTGGGAGTTACCGGGAATCTCCTTAAATGCCTCCTGGTCAACAACAGATCTTGTAGTCACGACGGTAGTATTAGAGTCTAGGCTAGAGACCATAGTTGACAGGGTTCTATACGGATACTGTGGTCCATAGACTGAGTCGGTCTTAGGTAAGTCGGTTAGGAGGAACGTCTTAGTGGTGTGGAGCGGAACCGTCACTGGGTTGTGTGTTTGTCACCATGGTAGACACGCGTACCGGAACGAGCACCTCCCCCTATACCGCAAAGCAGGATGCGAAGACCGCCGCTATCCTGAAAGAGAGAAGAGAGAAGGAGGAGGCCAAGAAGAAGGCCCTCATAGAGGAACAGGTGGCCAAATTGAAGAAGATTGAGGAGGAGAGGGCCAGAGAGAGAGAGAGGCTGAGGAAAGAGCAGGAAGAGAAGTTGAAGGCGGTAGAAGAGGAGGAAGAGGTAGAAGAACAACCGCCGGAAAGGAGAAGAAGGGGGCAAGGAGGTGAATCCCGTGGTACAAAGGAAGATCAGATGGAGAAGAAAATTACGGAGTGGGTTGCTGGCTTATCCCTGGGAGAAGAAGAGGAGGCACTAATGTATGTGCCCAGGGAAGAACAAGAGGCGGTCATGAGAGAGTGGGATGCAGAAGAAGATCCACTCAAGCGGCAAGCTATAGAAGATGAGAAGAGGATGGAGTGGAAGTTCCGATTGACGAGGGAGAGGAAAAAGAGAATGCAGGTGGCGAGCCAGGCGGCGAAAGAATTGGAGGAGGTAAAGAAACAAAGAGAGCAGATGGCGACGCAAGTAGACCTACTGGGGAAGATGGAGATTATGACGAGAAATATAGAGCGTCTGGCCCAGGTCCAGGAAAAACAATATTTGTTTGTTAGAGGTCAGGATATTGCCTTACGCTCTATACGGCTGGGGCTCAGGGACTTTGCAAGGGAATTGGCGACGCAGGTGGGCTCAAAGGTGAGGGCCCGCCCAGAGGGCACGGAGCGTTATTGCACGGGCGCCATAGAAGGCGGCAGACTAACTGCTCCCAAGGAGGGGGAAGCGCGTCCCCGTAGGGAGCCTGTCAAGGTCAAGTTCCCGGACCCCTACAACGGGAAGAAGGAGGAAAATTTTGATAATTGGGAAGCCAATATCAAAACATATGTGCACCTACAGAAAGTCTCCCCGGATGAGCATGTCCTGATAGCCGTCCATGCCCTTCGGGACGAAGCGGCAAGCTTCGCCCGTTCTCTCTGCCGTGCCGCCAACTGCAATGATGATCTTGTTGCCTATTCTGCGTTCACGCCCCTCAATGACTTTCTTAAGTTATTAAGGGAACGGTTTGCAGACGTCTCGCGTAGTGTCAAAACCTCTGATAGGCTGCAAACCATCCACTCCCGCAAGTGGAAGAGTGCCAAGGCACTCAAGGGCGTTTTGGACGAATTAGTCGCCGTCCCGGACCATGGGGTCACGGAGACCCAATTGGTCAACCTCTTCCATCGTGCGATGCCCGAGCAGTTACGCGGGCACTTCTTCGAAAAGAGTCAGCAGCCCAACATGACATATGACGCTTTGAGCAAAGAAGTTGTAGCATTCGAAGTGAGGTCCATGTCAATTTCCACTTTCTGGCATAAGGACCTGGATAAGGGCAAAAAGTGGAAGGGTTGTACCATCTCAGGACAAGTCAAGACCAAGGATCGCTTGATCATTACTCTAGATGAGGGTAGTGTCGACGAAGTCCCCTACGAGCAGATTGAGTGGGGGCTGGAGGAGGAGGACAGTAGCGTTAGTCAGGGGAAAACATACGCTGCTGTCGCGGTTGGAGGGAGGCCACAAGGAGGAGGTGGAGGCCAGGGCCAAGGCGGCCAGGCCTCAGGTGGCCATACTCAGGGCGATCAGGGGGTTGGTGGTAGAGGAGGAAACCGCCAAGCGGGAGGAAGGGGTCAAGGTGCCCCGCAAAACCGTTTTGGGAATAGGTCGCCCAATAGAGGGAATAGATCACCGAATAGGAGAAACAGGGCACCCTCTTGGAGAGGTGGTGGCACCCAGGGCTGCCACAGGGCCGACCTTGGGAAGACTTGGGCCTGGACCAGCGTTTATGGCAACAGCGTGTGGATCAGGGGCAGTGCATATATTGCGGTGACCCTGGCCACATCATCAAATATTGTCCGAAGTATAGAGAGGCCCGTTCTGCTGCCCAGGGGTCAAAAGGCAGCTGCCGGTAGGGGTAGCAACTGCCCCTACCACAAGGCCATGTGGGGAAGCGAATGCGAGCCGGCAAGAAACTCCCACACCACATGTGCCAATGGCAGAGGTTGCAGGCTGGTGCCTAGATAGCTGTCCAGAGACTGCTTGCGTTAGAGTCTCTCTAGGCACTTCCCTCAAGGGCGTGGCCGATGAGTTAAAGGAGAGAATGCCCGCCTGGGCCAAGATAAAGAAGGAGAGTAGAGGACAACTAGTTTTAGTAGATGTAGAGATTTTCAGAGGTAGAGTAGGGGTCCTATCCTAGAGAAAGGTTGGATTAGACCCAGTTCGTCTCCATTTGGAACACCTGTTCTATTTGTCCCAAAGAAGGAGGGAGAGCTCATAATGTGCATTGACTACAGGGGTCTCAATGCTATTAACGTGAAGAATGCGGAACCTCTGCCCCGTATAGATGACCTTTTAGATCGGGTGCAAGGTTGCAAGTATTTTTCGAAGATAGATTTGAAGTCTGGATATCATCAGATAGAGGTCCATCCTGATGATCAGTATAAGACCGCGTTCCGGACTAGATATGGGCACTACGAGTTTATAGTTATGCCCTTTGGACTAACCAACGCGCCAACAACTTTTCAACGTTGTATGAATGACTTGTTTAGGCCGTGGTTGGACAGGTTTGTAGTAGTCTATTTAGATGACATTGTAGTGTTCAGCAGGACCATCCAGGAGCATGCGGGTCATCTAAGGCAGGTCTTGGAGAAGCTCAGAGATGCTAACTTGAAGATCAACGCGAAAAAGTGTGAATGGGCAAAGACCCAAGTTCTATACTTAGGCCATGTCTTAGACGGAGATGGCATCAAACCAGAAGATAGTAAAATTGCAGCGATCAGAGATTGGCCTACACCCCGCACGTTGACAGAGTTACGGTCGTTCCTAGGCCTAGCTAATTATTACAGGAAGTTTGTGAGGAACTTCTCCACCATCGCTGCTCCCCTTCGCAGGTTGCTGAAGAAAGAAACAATCTGGAAGTGGGATAAGGACTGCACGTCTGCCATGAAGAAGTTGAAACATGCGTTGATAGAGTACCCAGTCCTTAAGGTAGCCGATCCGTCCTTACCTTTCGTTGTCACCACTGACACGAGCCAGTATGGTATAGGTGCTGTATTACAGCAAGACGATGGCAATGGATATAGACCCGTAGAGTTCATGTCTGCTAGGATGCCTTCAGAGAAGGTAGCGACATCTACCTACGAGAGGGAACTCTACGCTCTCAGGCAAGCATTAGAGCACTGGAAGCACTACTTGCTTGGGAGGCACTTCAAAGTCTACTGAGACCACGAGACATTAAGGTGGCTGAAGACGCAGGCCAAGATGACACCTAAGCTTACTAGCTGGGCCGCAGAGATAGACCAATATGATTTTGAGCTCAAGCCAATCAAAGGGAAGTATAATGTAGTTGCGGACGCTCTGAGTAGGAGAGCTGACTACTTTGGAGCGATAGTTCATTATCTGGATATAGGGAGAGACCTGCAGCGGAAAGTTAGAGAGGCGTATGCGCAGGACCCTATCTATGGTGACCTCCTCAAGAGAGTAAAGGAGGCCCCAGAGTCCGAACCAGACTACCGCACTACTTATGGGCTGCTATTCAAGAAGACTAACGTATTTGACCAATTGTGCGTTCCTAACAGGGAAGAGATCCGTAGTTTAATCCTAGGGGAATGCCATGATACTGAGGGACATTTTGGTTGGCAAAAGACCCTAGCTAACCTTATGCGCGCGTACATATGGCCTGGGATGAAGGCCGACTGCATAGAGTATGTTCGCAGTTGTAAGGTCTGCCAGAGAAATAAGACCTCTACACGTGCCCCTCTTGGTCTTCTCAGGCCCTTGCCTATTCCTGATCAGCCAGGAGATTTAGTATCCATTAATAGTTGATAGATTCAGTAAATATGCTGTTTTTGTTGCTTTGCCCTCAGAGGCACGTACAAAGTTAGTTATCCATAAGTTTTTCGATCATTGGGTCAGTGAACACAGGATTCCACTGTCTATAGTTAGTGATAGAGACACCCGGTTCACTAGTCAGAACTGGCCGGAGTTGATGAGAGTCTTGTTGATGTCATCTGGCCGCGATCCAGAGACTAACGGTCAGACGGAACAGATGAACAAGATCCTGCAACAAGTTCTGCGTATGTACATTAGACCGGATCAGATCAATTGGGATGAGATGTTGCCCAAAGTAGCCAGTGCGTACAATAACAGCGTGCACTTGTCTACCTGTCGCACTCCCAATGAGTTGCACAAGTCCTTTAGACCACCTAGACGGTTTGAAGGACTTAACCGGGACCAGATTCACAGGCTACCGCCCGGTACTAGGGAGCTTGCGTTACAGCACGAGAAAGAGTTAGCTACAGTGGTAGAGAACCTTAGGAAGGCCCAGCACCGGATGATAGAACAAGCTAATAAGCACCATTGCCCGTCACAGTTTCAAGTAGGCGACTTGGTCTGGGTCAAGTCTAAAGAGTTTGCTCCTGAGGAAAACATCTCGCAGAAGTTACGGCCCGCATATAGAGGACCGTGGTCAAAGGCAAAGAGGATGGGCCGTCCTACACAGTAGAGATCCCAACACACCTCCACACCTACCCTGTGTTTCATGCCTCAAAGTTGTTGCTGTGTGTCACAAGTCAACAGTTTCCATCTAGAAGATCCATGATTCCTCCAGACATGGACGGAAGATACGACATTGACGGCATTGTAGGTGAAGACGTGTTCAGGAGGTAGAGGTCGTCCGCAGAAGCAGTACAAGGTTCGATTTGCTTATCAGGAGCCAGAAGACGACCGCTGGTTTACTAGAACCAAACTTCTAGAAACAGCTCCCGACGTAGTTAGAGCCTACGAGAGAGATAAGAAAGGTAAAGATCCTGCCTTGGACTGAGTTATTCTCGGAGGACCTCGAATTTAGGCCGGCAGGAGTGAAACGGTTTTCACCTGTTAGCAGTAGCGAATGCAGATCCCAGGGCTCGATCCCTAGTTCT